GGGCTCCCTGGCGTCGACAGGGGCCAGTTCGGCAGGCGCAGTTCCCTCGGTTGAATTGTCGAGATTGCGGCCTTGGGTGGGCCCTGAGAAAGCCGAGACTGAGCCGTGTGCTGTTGTAAGCGTCTCCACAGTGCACGGCTTGGAATCGCCGGAGGGAGCCCCGAGTTCCTTGCGGCCGCAGCGGCTGCAGCGGGAGGCCCCAGCATCCTGGGGGCCTTGCAGTGCGCCAGCTGCGGCACATGCTGTTGATGAAGGTTGCCCTGGAGTGGCTGCGGGGGCGAAGGTGGGCAGCGCCGAACCTGCTCTCCACGACCGCGACTCCCCGACTTGCACGGGGTTCTCGTCCAAACCTTTTGCTCGACAAGGTTTCGATTTTGTTTCTCGGGATGCTGGGGCGGCGGCTGCCGCCCGCCAGAACGATGGCAGCGTGGCCTGAGGAGGCCAAGCCGCGGGCGCTGCTCCTGTTCGACATGCTGGGCCAGTGCGACGATGTCAGGTTTGGGGCCGAGCAGGTTGCGGAGTCGAACTTGTCGGAGTCGAACTTGTCGGCCGCGAAGGTCGGCGTGGCGCCGTTGGCAGGTGGTTCGTTGTTGTCCGACGCGGGCCAGGCCGTCGGGGACTTCGCAGACAAGGTCGGCAAGCAGGAGCGCGCGCGGGCTGGCAGGCGCGGGCCGAGGAGTCTGCGATGAAAGGAGGCCGTGCAGCGTGCAAGTTCAGCAAGGAGCACGTGGCCCTGGACGGGCCAGCTGGCAGACATGGCGAAGCCCTGCAGGGGGGCGCGGCCGTGGGCGCTTTGCTGGCGGAGTGGAAGGGGTACTGGTTCGACGGCAAGGCCCCGATGGCACAGTCGGTCATGGGCGAGGCAGCCAAGGAGGTGCTGCCGCGGCCCGGCTTGGCCCAGCTGGAGCGAGTGCTGCTGCGCTTCAAGCGCGAGACGGGCCTGGGCAGCGGCTGCATCAAGCCCAGGTCGTGGCTCCTGCTGGACGATGGCTTCCTGGTTCGCCTGCTGGATTTGCTTGAGCTGTGGGAGAGCGCCCCCGCCTGGTCGGAGCTGCGGCCAACGCTGATCACCTTCATCGGCAGGGAGGGCGGCGGGCTCCGCCCCATAGCTCTGATCGCGAGCTCACCGAGGGCGCGGAGTCGCGTTCGGCAAAGCATCGCCCGGGAGTGGGAGCGCGAGCATCGACTGGCGGCATTCTGGGGGGTGCGAGACAAGTCGTGCGACCGAGCGGGCTGGGAGCACAACTTGCTCGGGAACGGCGGCCCATGCATAGGCATGGAGTCGGGCTCGCTCTTCGCGGATCTCAAGAAGGCTTACGAGTACGTCTCGCACTCCTCCCTGGGTCAGAGGCCGCGTCGGCGAAGTTCAATTTGAAGGTCGTCTGCGCTGCTTGTGCCCTGTGCAGTGGGCCGAGGGCGATCACCTTCCAGGACTGTTGCAGCGGTGCGTTCGCGGTGCCCGACGGCGCAGTGCAGGCGGGTTGCAGCCCGGCGACGACGATGGCCAAGGTTTTGTTGTACCAGCTCTTCGCGGGCATCCAGCGCAGCCACCCCTCGGTGACGCTGCGCAACGTCGTGGACGACACCTCGGCGTAGAGCATCGGCACGGCGGAGCACGTCGGGCAGCAGCTGGGGGCGGTAGGCCGCGAGCTTGCCAGTGACTTCGCACGCCTGCGCCTGCGCCCTGAGGCTTCGACCACTTTTTTCTGGCTTCGCGCAAGGGCGTCGCACGCCGATTGGCTGCCGAGTGGGCTGATCTCGGTTTCGGTCGGAAGAGCGTCGCCCGCAACCTTGGGGCCGACGCCGCGCCGGTTGGACGCCGCCGAGCCCCGATTGCGAAGCGCCGGTTGTTGAAAGGGTTCCGTCGCGCCAGCCGTGTGCGCGAGCTCCGAGAAGCGGGCGCGAAGATCGGTTTGGTGTACCGCTCGGGGCCTCAAGCTGGATCGACGTGGGGGGCGGCGGCGATGGGTCTGTCGGGGCGTCAGTTGCGCGGCCTGGGGCTCCAAGCGATCACCAGCCCTTTTAAGAAAAAGCAGACCTCCTCCGTGGGGCTCCGTCTTCTGTCCAGCTCTCTGGGGGCTCAGGTCTGCCCGAGCAAACTTTACCACCGCGCGGTTGTTTTCATATGGGCCGGGGCCGTCTGGGAAGGGGCCCCCGAGCCTGGCGATCTTGCAGAAGTGTTTTGTTTCAGCACGCGCGCGCCTCCAGGCGTCCAGGAATCCTTGGGGAGTAGCGTGCTCGCCTGTCCACGTCCTACTGCCCACCCTCTCGGAGTTGGGTTGGATGGGGGAGTCTGCTCGCTACTTTGTCACGGAAAGGGGCGAGCGGCTGGGCCTTCTCAGATTTTCGCCCAGCCAAGTAAAGATGTCGGCTGAGAGAGCGACGCTCGCTAGGTCAGACGCGGCAGCGCTGTCCCTCCACCAGTCTGAGAGGGCCTGGACTAGACCGACATTATGGATGCCCCTTCGACAAGCCCTGGAGGGGGGTAGGTCAGAGATCTGGACGGAGCATTACCAGAGCGCCGTTCGATCGCTTGTCTCGATGGCCAGTTGGACGCAGCAGAAACAGTTCGCCCATGGGATAGCGGCCTCGGGATTGTGTAGGGCCTGCCACGGGGACCCAGGCACGCTCTTTCACCGTCGGGTGGATTGCCCAGCGCGGTCAGTCAGCCGCCGCGACATCTGCGATCCTCGAGCTCTTGCCGCGCTCAGGGGGGCCGAGCGGCGGGGTCAGGGGCGGGAGCGGGCTGCCTATGGCATTTTCCCAAGCCCGATGGACCTCCCCCCCGCCCCTCTCTACCCGTTCGATTCCGAGTTCCAGATTCACTGGGTCAACAGGCTTGTCTCAGAAGCCATGTCAGGGATAATCTTCTCCGACGGTTGGGCAGTGTTTCCCGATTGTGAATTCAGCCGTCGCGCCGGTTGGTCGCTTGTCATGACCGACGAATGGGGGTGGTTTCTCTCGTGCGCGCACGGTGCCGTGCCAGCCGATCTTGCTCCGTTCCAGCAGGCCCGTGATGGTGAGGATGTTGCAATGTTCTTTGCTTGTGGTTGTGTCTCGGAGCCCGTTGAGTTGTTTATATATATATATATATTGCCGGGGCACGGTGGATTGCTGCGCCTCGCCCGCTTTCGCTCAGTTGACCCTGTCTTTCAGAGGTTTGATTCTGGCCTCACGGTTCATAAAACCAAGGGTCATGCGACCCAGGGGGATGCGGGCGCGGGCAGGACGTCTGGGCGGGAGAGGGAGGGACATCGGCTTGCCGACCTGTATGCCCGCCGCGGTGCGGGCGCCCATCCCGACGCGACAGCGGCGGCGCAGGACATCGAAGGCCTCGGCAGGCTGGTTCGTTCTATTGCTCGGTGGGCTGGCTCCCGGGAGGCGCTGATGCCCCGAGGCCCCCTTCAGGACGCGGACGCACTGCCAGGAGCCGCTGCGCCAGAGGTGCAGGAAGTACGGCAGGCTAGGCCCCTCGGCCATGCTGTCGTCTCTGCCCCGAGGGCGGCTCAAGTTCCAGAGCGAGGCCGAGACCCGAGGCTCCCCAGATCCCGAACTGTCGTTGCTGCTGCAGCTTCTTGGGCACGAGTCGAGGGTCGCCTCTGTATTCGATGCGAAGGGTGCTTCGATTTTGTCAGGGCCTCGGTGTTTGATTTGTATAGCGCGTGGTGGCTATGCCTGGGCAGCTGCTCAATCGCTAGCCAACGATTGCTCGCGCAGGCCACCCAGTGGGCACACGAGGCGCCGGCTGAGTCGGGCCGGCCTGGGGGGGGTGATTTCCCGCACTGGGGTCCTGTGTACCGTGGGTAGCGCCTGGGGCCCTTGATGGAGCCCTCGGCCGCCGACCTCCTTTCCCTTGCTGCCCTTCGCGGGCTAAGTGGAGCGATGGCCAGCTCGACGCGATTGCCTGTCCTGCCTGTTTGGGGACCAAGGTGGTCGCGCGAGGAACTCCTCACTCGGTTCGGAGTGTCATCGGATCAGCTCGAGGAATGGAAGCGTGCTGGGCAAGAGCTTCCGTCAGACTCGGAGTGACGGGGACAGAGCGCTGGTCCCACTTTCATCTTCTTTCTGCGAGTTCAGGCGTTGCAGACATCGTCGCGCGCCTAAGCCGATAGATAGACATATAGATAGATATATAGATCGATATATATATATATATATATATATAAACATATAGAAGAGGAGGAGGAACAGGATGATGATGAGGAGGAGAAGGAGGAGGAGAGGAGGAGGGAGGAGGAGGAGGAGGAGGAGATGGAAGGAGAGAAACACACAGACACAATGAATCGTCGATTCCCAGCAAAACATGGGAACACATGGGAGAGGGGGAAGATGATAATCCAGAAAATGTGGGAAACTATCTAGGGAATCTGAGGATTTGTGTCTATGTGTTTGTGTGACCTGGGCCCCGTAGTTGACGACCCCACCCCCTATTGAGCAACACCCGAGGCTTTCGAGGGCCAGGAGGGCGGCGAGAGGTGCCAGCCCATCTCATTTGCCGAGGGGGACAGGGGGCCCTGAGATCCTCTGGGCCCTTCCCTCCAACGACCCACGAGGGCATCTCCGCCCATGCTTTCCGCTCATCTCCTCAATGGAGGAAAAGGTACCCACACCGCTACCCTCGCCTCGTTTTCCCCCTCTTCGGCCTCCTCGGAGGCCCTCGTCGCCACCGGTGGAGTCGCCTCAAAATCACCACGGGAGAGGTCCGGGGAGTAGCGGTATCTGTGCCCTTTGGTTTTCCCACATTTTCTTGTGAGGGCGCAGGCGTCGGGGGATCGACCGCCATGTGGTTTCTCTCTTTCTTCCGCTCCTCCCCCTGTATCCGCTTCAGTCTCTCGGCCACGTCATCTCCTCCATCTCCCCCTTCATCCATCGGCTTTCATGTTACTGCATGGTTCACATAGCTTTCGATAATCCGCCTTGCCAGGCATCGCCATCTTGAGCAAGATACGTTCTCACTCAGCCCAAGTCCGACCCCACCTTCATGTCAATTCCTCCCCCAGGCTTTACGTGCTACAGCGTCTTCTCAATCACTTGTGCGATATCGTCGCTGGGCGTCCCCTTGCCGAAGGCGGGTCGCGCACACCGCGAGTACCAGATATGGAGCTCAGAACACATTGTCACGCTGTAGTGGCGGATTGGTGAAGATACGGACGAAGTCGAGTAGAAGGGTGATGACGAAAAGAACGAGGAATGGCAAGCAGAAAATCACGCCAACGAAGGCGATACACTCGAAGAGTGTATTGGCACGCCAGTGTTCGTACAGCGTTGAGCTGGATAGGGCCATTGATAGGTTGATTGGTTTGTTCCCTCCGCTTCGGGCAGAAGCACAAGGTAAACGCACAGTTGCAGCTGATGCACCACATGATTGGTCTCATCGGAAGAATGTGCCCCACGAGACTCACATGCAGACTTTGTCAGGTCGCCTTCGCTGTTGTCTTGGAGAGAACTCTCCGCTCAAAGACCGTAGTTTCTGTATCTAAGACTCGTTGGCGCAGCATACATTGCACTACCGACGCATTCAAGATGCGCCTCCGCGCAGGTGAAGGACCATCGATGCTTTGTCTCCCATGGAGCCAACGATTATGAACGTTTTGAGCTGAAGCGGTATCCGGTTTCGCCAAACTATGACTTCGCATACTCACTCCATTTCTACGTCTGGTGGCTGTATATATCCACGACATGTCATTGACGCAGTGCTGAACATGTGATGTTGGGACCTCGTTTTGAAGAGGCAGCGCCCTGCGTCTCCTTCCTTTCCGCTGCCCTTCTCCCTCCTCCTTCCTCCTCTTCTTCCTCCTCCTCCTCCTCCTCCTCTTCCCATCCTTACCCCTGCTCTCCGCATCAGTCCACCAGTTCGGCACATTCTTCACACGTTTCGTGTCCCCCAATGGGAGCTCGTCCAAAGGCTCCAGTGAAGAGAAGAAAGAAGAAAGACGCCGTGCACGTCGGAGGTGCATGGGCAGGGAAAATAAGCGCAGACGCTACTGCAGCCAGGCGCTGTGAAACAATGGACCCCCCAGCGTCGCCAGTTCTATGGGCAAGTGGTGTCAAAAATCACCCCTAGAACACATGCCAAAACAAATCACATATCAGGACAGCTGCCGGGCGAATGGCCAGAAGAGACGGGGAAGGGGAGGAGGAGGAGGAGGACAAGAACAAAGTGAGAAGACAAGGCGTATGTGAAGAAATAGTGTCTGGTAGCTGTTTGCCACATGCCTGACGGGCCTTGCCACATTCCGTGCAAAACGTTAGTATTTCCGGCTGCCCCGGCGGCCAAATCGTGGACGTTCCGCTTCCATGTGTTTCTGGGCCTTCCCCTCTTGCAGGGGCCACTTCCTCCTGACAGCGCGAAGGAATGCGATTGAAACACGCAGAGCCGAACGGGGCTGTCGTTCGGGAGAGCTGCGAGCCGCCCCAGCAGGCACACTTGTCATGGCCGTGGGTAGCTCCCGCCAGCTGTTTGGTAGTGGTTTGCTCGCCTCATTGGCGGGTCTGCCCGTTCGTTTCGTTTTGGGCGGGGGCGGGGGCTCCGGCGGCAAAATTAATTGTGGGGCACGCGTCTTCAAAAAAAAACACAGGCTGCCATGCCGAAACTTGCGACGTGCCTCCGAGTTTAAACTTGCGTCGGAGACGGTGTGGCCCCACACGTAGGATGTTCCACCGAGTTTAAGCTTGCGACGTGGCCCTATAGGATGCTCCACCGAGTGCCTCAGAGCTTGAACTTGCGTCGGGGACGGTGTGTCAATCAACGTGTCATGGCCAGTTCTTCCCACCGTCGTGGCCGCATCGTTACGTAGCCATTTTTGCTCAATGTTCTAATGGACCCCGCTCTTGCAGATTCTCTTGTTCTCTCGGACGGCAGTGTTGACGATGGTGCCTTCGTGGTGGCGGGACGCTCGGACACCCCCCGCCGAAGCGTCGCGCACACGCCGTGCGCAGACGTGCTGACATTGTCAACGGTGAGTGCGAGGCCCTCTTTGTTGGGCACTGGCCTGGAGGGGTGAAATGTTACGGTGACGCCAGCAGTGGAAGCGAGGGGGAGGAGGAACGAGAATGTTGGAAGGTGTTTGCGCTCGGGACGGCCAAGTGGAGGCTGGTGCCCTACAGCCAGGATGCCGCCAGCCAAATCACGTCACTTCAATGCAGGTCGGGTGGCACCAACGGCGCATGCATCCTTGGTTTTGTCGCATACGACATCAGTTGCGTCGAGTTGTTCGACAGAGTGCGGGTAGTATGGCACCCCCCAGAGACGCCCGCGGAGATGCACGATTTTTGCCACGAGAAGATTGCCGGTGTCGAGTTGTTACCCTTTTTGCAGAGCGTTTTCCGATGCTATTGAGGGCAAGCGCTCGCCTGCGTGGCTCTGCGTGCCATTGCCAATTGCACGCAGATTTCTGCTTATGGGCGAAGGCGCCATCAAGATGGTGCCAGTGCCGAGTGGCCTGGGAGGGATGCGGTATGACATGTCGTTGGGTGGCGCCCCTCCACGAAGCGCAATCAGACGATGGGCCCAGACTGTATCATCACGGCCCGAGGAACGCCAGCAGCCTGAGTGTCAGGCGCCAGAGTCGGCCACCGACAGTTTCGACGTTGCCCACGTTCCAGTGCGGAGGAACTTGAAGGAGAACCCCCGCCGGGGTGGCATCGTGCTCAAACAGGGGCTGAAGGTGGCCCCAGCTATTGCGAAGATCAACGCGATTGCCTTCTGCAGCAATTTGAGGTCCCAGCACGACTTCTTCCATACCTTGCAGGACGGCGTCGATTTTTTGTCGGTTCGGTCGGTGCCGATGGCGACACGCCAGTGCTGGACAAGACCGACCACCCTAGTCGCGAGGTGCTCCGCGAGGGCGTCTTGCGACTGGACGCCGTGGCAATGCTTGCGCAGACGCGCCAGCTCGTCAGCATCCACATTTTGTCTGATGCCAGTGACTGCTTGGGTAACGAAATGCAGGGCACGGTCGTTGACTTTGCCTGCGACGACGGGTCGTTCGAGCGCCTCGCCCTTCCTGGATGCTCGCTCGCGCATTGCTCCATGGGCCGACGAGACAAGATATGTTTTGTGGGCTGTGTCTTTGATGAGCGGGCCCGAAGAAGATCGAGTTCGTTCCTCCTTGGGGAAGGTCAGGTCAACCACTGCTGGCGTGGGGTCCGAGCTGCACTTGGTCGACTGCGCTGACCTGTTGCACGCCTGGTTCGAACGCATGCGCCGGAAGGCGTTGGAAGCGTCGGGCTTGCTGATTAACAGGGTTGCCAGACTGCCGCCGCCCGCCATCCGCATCCCAGGTTGGAACCAGATATGCAGCGGCATGGTCAAGAGAGTCGTGGTTCTTGCTCCGAAGTGGCCAGAGTGGAACGCCAAGTTGAGGGACTTATGCAGGGTGCTTCAGGAACGCCTCGTGCCGTCAGCACATCTGCGTGCCCTTCAAGGCGCGGCGCCCAGGTTGCCGCGCGGGCGGGCAGGGGGGGGGCGGGGCAACGAGCTCGGCGTCGCAAATGGTTCAACCTCTCCGCAGTTCACCCCCCTACTTGGCCCACGTCTGACCATGGGCTGATTGGGCGGAGCGTCAGTTGAGAGGGGGGCGGGAGGGGGGGGGGGGGGGGCAGGGCTCGGCTTGGGGTCGCAGGTAGTCACCGATTCCCGTCAGAAGCCATAGCCCCCCCTCCGCCCTCGCCCCCGCGACCCTTGGTGTCCCGTGACCGCGGCGAGCCGCAGTGATGCGCAGACCCTTGCGGCGCCGACCCAGGATGCAAGTTTTGCGTCCTCGGTTGGCGCTGCAAGCGTCAGTGTGGTGCGTGATTGCGCGGGGGTTCGACTTGTGAACTGCGTCGCCTCGGCGATTCGCTCGTGCCGCGGGCGGGGCCTGCGTCTCGCGGGGAGGGGTGGGGTGGCGTCCGACCGCTGCCGCCAGGGCCGCGAGCTTGAGTTTCGGGAGGCTTTGAAAAGTTTCAGTGCGTCGCTGGCGAAGTGGGGATTCGAGGCGCTGGATGCGGTGGAGGCGCGGCTTCTGCCGCTGACTTGTGCGAACGCCATTTGGCCGAGGACGTATTTCGGAATTGCAGGGGCACCGATTTGGTTAAGTATCGTATTAAAGCGTGTCGTGATAAGGAACTGTAGTCTTTCATGGCTGTGTCGCATAAGCTCATTGTGCACCCGATCGAGCGCATTCGCCGATGGGGGCTGGGATGCGCTTGCTGCGACGCAAAGAGGAAAGCAGGTCGTCGCCTGCAGTGCTCGTTGTTTGGGAGACGCCTGGGTGAAGCAGCCAGCTGCATCACCGAGGTGCGCGCCGAGTTTCACGACAGATCTCGGCGAGTGGGTTTCGAGGATTGCGAGGGCGACGGCGGCTTGGTTTAGCTCGTGACCCACATGATCCAGTATGCAATCGACGGGTTGCAAAAGTGGATACATTTCGAACTGGCCCCATGGCGCTTCGCCATGGCCGATGCTGTCGACGAGGCACGAGAGGTTATCAGGCAGGTAGGTGTGCGGCCGTTGGAGCAGTGCGACCCTGTCGCATTCTCGACCTGCACGCAGTTCAGCCAGAGATTGCCGCCGTCGCAGCATGTGGGCCGCGCTCGGCGGCTCGGGCCGCGGAAGTGGCATGCGGACGTTCCCGCTGGGGCCTTCTGTGGAACTCCTTATGACGATGGTAGTGCTGACAATGACGACGACGAGGCGGATGGGGGGAGAGACTGGAGGGGGAGGAGGAGGAGGAGGGGAGGAGAGGAGGGAGGAGGAGGAGGAGGAGGAGGGGAGGACGAAGAAGAAGAAGAAGCAGAAGAAGAAAACAGAAGCAGAAACATAAGAAGGAGAAGAAGAAGAAAAAAGAAGAAGAGGAAGAGGAGGGGGGGAGTAGGAGTGGGAACGCGGGGCGCTGTCTGTTCAAAACGGGGAACCCGGCACCACAGGATGGTTGGGGAGGGGGGGGGGGAACGGGAAGGGGCGGGCGAGGAGAGGCGGGGAGGAGGGGGGCGGGCGCCCCCCCCCGCGGCCGCGCGATCCGGCAGATCGAGAGCGACGAGGTGGTGAAGGAGGCGCACGGCGGGCGGGCCGCACTGGCTGTCTCGGCCCTCCCCCCTGCGCTGGAGGGTTTCTCCGAAGGGCTTAGGCGACCCGTCCTCCTCCTCCTCCTCCTCCTCACTCCCTCCTCCTCCTCCTTCCTCCTCCTCCTCCTCCTCCTCCTCCTCTCCTCCTCCCTCCTCCCCCCCTCCTCCTCCTCCCCTCCTCCTCCCTCCTCCTCCTCCCTCCTCCTCCTCCCTCCTCCCTCCTCCTCGCTCCCCCCTCCACCTCCCTCCTCCTGCCTCCCTCCTCCTCATCCTCCTCCTCCTCCTCCCTCCTCCCTCTTCCTCCTCCAGCTCCTCCTCCTCCTCCAGTTTCTCCTCCTCCCCCTCCTCCTTCTCGCACTGGCTGTCTCTGCGCTCGTTCTGGCAGGGCCGCTGGGGGGAGGATGGCGCTGGGGAGCAAGATCAACACACGGACAACTAGACAGAGCCGAGAAATGGAAATGATGGCGATTGTTGTTTTATGCATTGTTTTGCCGACGGACCCCACCTCCCCCCCCCCACGGAGTGAATCGTCGCCGTTTGGGGCGCCTGTTTCGAGCAGGTAGAGTCCCCCCATAGGACGCACTGCTGCAAACACTGTCGCAGTAAGCAGAGATCCAGAGCCAGACTCCCCCCCCTCCCTCCCCCCCTTCCGCCCAATGTCGAAACACCGAATCAGAAAACGTTCACATGGCGGCAGAAACGTCAGGAAATTCGATGGGACCAGAAGATGTCACAGGGGAAACCGTCCGAAGGGACACGTCCAAAGGGGACCCCCCATTGTTTGTGGAAGTTTGATTTGGTTTTCCCCATGGTGTCCCTAAAGTTTCTGCCGCCAGCACTTCAGTGTCTTTGTTTTGATGTGGTTCGTCCCGATGTTTGTTGGTGTTTCAGCGCCCTCCTCTTCCTCCTCCTCCTCCTCCTCCTCCAGGAGGGAAGTGATCATGAAGAGGAGGATGACGAGGAGGAGGAGGAATTCTTTTTGCGTGGCATTACAATCGATTCCTTTCGCGCTGCTTTTTCTCAAGTATTGGAATTTTGAGGCTTGCCTACAGAGGGGCCCTTGGAGCGTTTTACAAAGCATTATTTCTTGTGATGTTTCCATTGACTTTGGAGTGTTTTGGGGGGAGATTTCAAGTATGAGGCTTTCCGTCGAATCCATTTGTAGCGTTTTCCCAAGGATTCTTGTTGGGAGGCCGTCCAACATAATCCTTTTGCAGTGGTCTCGCAAAACGAGTCCTGGTGTGATGCTGTCTTATGGAATATGTTTGTGAGCTCCTTCCCAAATACGCGTAAGGGCTTCACCCTCTGCCGTCGGCCCCTTCTCTATCACGATGGGGCATGCAGGAGTTAAGTCGTGAAGCAATGTCGGATACCTCATGTTAGGGCGATTGTTAACATTCAAGAGAATGTTCACCCACCCCAGCAATTCAGAGCACACGCTCAGGGCGTGCTAAACCTGCCCGTTTGGGCTTCCCCCCCCTCGCGCGGTCCATCAACAAGGAACAGTAAGCAGCAATAAGTAGAATTGTAACAGTGGAAACTGGAAGCTGCAACTGGTACAGGAAACTGCGAACCTTCGCCCTACAGCCTGGTGGCCCCACAAGGGCGTCGGCGGATATTCAAGAGAATTCGATATTCAGATGAGTACGTTGAACTCCGCGTTGCGTTTTGGGGGATTTCCCCTCACGCTGTGTACTGGAGGCGCTCTTGGAACGACTGGGGGCTGCTCGAGGCTACGCTGGGCAAAGTTGCGCGGCCTGGGCGGTCTCTTTGGGTTCCTCGGAGAATGTTGCAGGGGACAACGGCTTCGGGGACGCGACGGTGGCGAATCTAGTAGGAAATCATGGCCTCGGGGGCGCGCGCATGGCGTCATTCACTAGAGATCGTGGCATCGACCCGAACATTGCATCAGTTGAAGTGGATCGTGGCCTCGGGGGCGCGACTACAGTGCAAGCTGCGAGGGATCGTGGTCGCGGGGTCGTGAACACGTCGTAATGTGCGACGGATTGTGGCCTCGGGGGCGCGAATCTTGCGAGGGATCGCTGCCTCGGGGGCGCGAGTGTGGAGTAATGTACGCGGGATCGTGGCTTCCGGGACGCGAATCGTTTGTTGTCAGGGATCGGGGCCTCGGAGACGCGGCCTCGGAGGCGCGAACGTAGCGTCACTTGCGTGAGCTTGTGGCTTCGGGATCGCGAGCATCGCATCGTTTAAGAGTGATCGCGATCTCGGGGACGTCAACATGTCATCATTTTATATGGTCGTTGCCTCGGGGGCGCGAATATGGGGTACCTTTCGAGGGATCGTGGCTTCGGGGACGCGACTACTGTTTAACCTGCGAGGGATCGTGGCCTCGGAGACGCAGCCTCGGGAGCGCGAATATAGCGTAGTTACGTGAGATTGTGGCTTCGGGATCGCGAGCATCGCATAGGTCGTGGCGTCGGGGACTTGAACATCGGGTAATTCATACGGGATCGTAGCCTCGGCGGCGCGAATGTTGCATCATTAGCTAGAGGATCGTGGCCTCGGAGACGCGAGCATTGCGTAATTTACAAGGGATCGTGGCGTCGGGATGTGGAGATTATGCAATTTACTCGGAGGCGACGACCAGGGCGGATAGCTCGCGGGAGGGCTATCCACTTTTGGGGCTTGGCAATCGCGGCCTTCCCTGTTTGCGCCTGAGTGAAAAATGGTGACGATTTGAAAGAGCTCGCGGCGCGCTGCTTGGAATGTCGCGGAAATGGCGAAGCGAATCGCGCGGTAGTCTCGGCCATAAGTGGACGCGGTGGCGCGCGGTGTCAGCCCGGCCCCGAGGTTGACACCCATAGGTGTTGATCGGGATGTTTCTTGTGGCGCGGAGATAATGGCACCCACGTTGAGGCGCGCACAATGGCGAGCAGCTTGAGGATTGCGGACTCGAGAAGCCGAAGCTACGGGCGGCGGAGACCTGTGGCATCGTGTTTCTTATACAACGCAAGCCGTAAGGCGGCACTCCTGTGACTGCGGAGCGCGTCACTCGCGAGCGGCGTTTTCGCGCTTTCCCCCGGAACGCCAGCTGGATACGTGTAACCAGAACTGGATACATGTAGCCAGAACTGAAGACATGTATCCAAAACTGAAGACGTGTAATCGAAACACAGGTAGAACCAATGTGCAATTCACGGGAAATCGATACATGCAACCGAAACTGAATACATGTATTCGCTGCTCCTGCGCCCGCGGCGCCCGTGCGACGACGGTGCCCCGCCCCGCCCAGCGGCCCAGTTGGGCGAGGTGCCCCGCGACCACGGGGCGAACGCCATTCTTCCAGCATGCAGTAGAGGGAAACAATTACTGAACACTCCCCCTCCCCCCCAAACTCAACGGTGGCACGCGCGGGGGAGACCGTGATGAAAGTGCATCTCGTCATACCCACCGCCAACTTTGAACATTGGGGGGAGGGGGAAGCGTTGACGGATGAATGTGGCATGAGTGTTCGCTAATTTGTTCCGAGGCTTGTAGCTGCAAAGAGAGGATGTCGCACTTTCGCACGCTCCGCAGCCGCGTTTTTTCCAGGCCGCATTACCCGCAGCGCACGCCACGGGGTTCCCCGCAGCGAGCGCCCAAATCGCCGTGCCACAAGTGACATCCAAACAAGTCGCAGCGGGCGTCAACAATGATATCGAATTCGCCCCGCGCGCCGCCGCATTGGGTTGAGACCGACGAAGCCGTTATATTCGACGTGGTATATCCGCGCAATGCAATGCTTGCGCCGAATGCTGCTGTACATCCTCACCCGTTCCGTTCCGGCGCACAGAAACATTGTGCAATTACCAAACCCCGAAAAGTGTAACGCTCTTCCCTGGGAGATCCGCCCTTCTCGTCGCCTCCGATTTACTAGGGATCGCAGCTTCGGGGGCGCGAATCACGAGTATGTGTATGTGTCCTACGGCCCCACCGGGGATTCTGGACCCCCCTGGGGGGCGTGGTAGAATTCCGGTTTCGGGCTCCCCCTCCTTCTCGCGCGGACAGTTACAATTTAAAGTAGTACGTAGAAAGTAAGGTTATGACATGGGAGATTTGAAACTGGGACTGGAGCAGAGAGCGTCAAGCCTAGTCCCCGCAGCCCGATGGCCCCACAAGGGGGTCGGCGGATGTTTGTTGTCACGCTTTCCAATCGGATCCCTTTGGAGCGCTTTCTTGTTGTTCCGTGTTCTGCGTTTTCTCTTTGTGTGCGCAGGTGTAAGAGAGGGAGAGAGAGAGAGAGAGAGCGAGAGAGTGTGTTCGTGTACGCAAGGGTTGCGTTTGTGCAAGAGACAGATAGAAAGAGAGAGAGAGAGAGAGAACGAGTGTATGTGTGTGGAAAGGAGAGAGAGAGAGAGAGACAACACAAATAATAAATAACTACATACATAGAAAGAGAGAGAGAGAGTGTCTGTGTGTCAGAGGAAGAGGGAGACAGAGAGAGAGAGAGAGAGAGAGACAGAGAGCCAGACAGATGTCATAACGAGACCCTCAGGATCCACCGTTCCTGCTCTGCGCCCCCAGCCCAAGCGCCACCCCCGATTGGTTTTTCCCAACCATCTTGTGGTGTTGGGTCCTCGTTTTGAAGAGACGGTCCCCACGTTCCCGCCCTCCCTCCTTCCCTCCCTCCTTCCTTCTTCCTTCCCTCCCTCCTTCGTCGTGGCCCCACAGGAAGCTTCACCGAAGGCCCCCGAAGCAGGGTCAGCATGCGGTTCCGTCCCCATTTCGGCACACGCCTCACACGCTTCGTGGCCCCACAGGGAGCTTCACCGAAGGCCCCCGTGGCATGGTCCGCATGCGGTTCCACCCCCATTGTGGTACACCCCTCAGACGTTTCGTGTCCCCATAGGGGGCCCCACCGAAGGCCTCAGCGGCATGGTCCGCATGCGGTTCCACCCCCATTGTGGTACACCCCTCAGACGTTTCGTGCCCCCATAGGGGGCCCCACCGAAGGCCCAAGTGGCAGGGTCCGCATGCGATTCCACCCTCATTGCACACCCCTCAGACGTTTCGTGCCCCCATAGGGGGCCCCACCGAAGGCACCAGTAGCAGGCTCCGCATGCGGTTCCGACCCCATTTCGGCACACCCTTCACCCGCTTCGTGGCCCCACAGGGAGCTTCACCGAAGGCCCCAGTGACAGGGTCCACGTGCGGTTCCACCCCCATTTCGGCACACGCTTCACACGCTTCGTGGCCCCATGTGTAACCCCACCGAAGGCCCCAGCGGCAGGGTCCGCATGCGGTTCCACCCCCATTTTGGCACACCCCTCTCATACGTTTCGTGGCCCCATGGGGAGCCCCACCGAAGGCCCCAGTGGCAGGGTCCGCATGCGGTTCCACCCCCATTTCGGCACACCCCTCACACGTTTCGACAGGGGGCCCCACCGAAGGCCCCAGTAGCAGGGTCCGCGTGCGGTTCCACCCTCATTTCGGCACACCCTGCACACGCTTCGTGGCCCCATGAGGTGCTCCACCGAAGACCCCCGTGGCAAGGTTCGCATGCAGTTCCACCTCCATTTCGGCGCACCCCTCATACGTTTCGTGGCCCCATCGAGTGTTCCACCCAGGGCCCCAGTGGCAGGTTTCGCATGCAGTTCCACCCTTCATTTCGGCGCACCCCTTTCACGTTTCGTGGCCCCCAAAGACCCTAGTGGAAGCGCCCGCACGTGGTTCCACACTGAATTTCGGCGCACCCCTCACACGCTTCGTAGCCTCACATGGGGCTGCACCGACGGCTCCGGTGGCAGCGTCCGCATGGCGTACTCATGCAAATTTTGGCACACCCGTCACACGCGTTGTGGCCCCAGAGAGAGGTTCACCGAGGACGGTACCCACAATTACATTACACACAGCTGCATATGGTTGGGCCCTTCGCCAGGATAATTTTCCTCCGTCTCGCGGGGCGTCCCTCAGCACAACAAACAGAAACGCACAACTACTTGTTTTTCTTATTGTCTGTGTCCTCTTCTTGCTGTTGCTGCTGCTGCTGCTGCTGCTGCTGCTGCTGTCCACATGGCGCGGTGTGCCTCTGACTCGAATCGCCAAAGCGCGCAGGATGGGCGCGGAAACCTGTAGCCCTAATCTGTCCTGTCGGCGTCCTCCTCTTCTTTGCCCTCGCCGCTGCGCGATTTTAGTGGCAGTGCGACCGTTCTCTCGCGGCTGTCAGATGCGGGAGCGGCTGCTTTGGGGCTGCGTTTCGTCGAGATTATCATGAAACCAACAAAAGCAAGAGCTCCCACGAGGGTGCGAAGTGATCGCATCGCGCTTCGCGGTCCTCGTTCCTCTCCCCCTCCTCGTCCTCCTTTTCTTCCTTTAGGGGGGCGGCGCGAGAGCGCGAAGTTGGGAGCCCTTGAAAAGCGAAGCCCCCGAGGCGTGCCGAAGGCGCCTCCCGGAGGCGGCCTCCAGGAGGCCCCCCAAAAAAGACCGCCTGGACGGCCCGGGGCCCAGGAGGCTCCCAGAAGTCTTCGACGAGTCCGGAGACCCCCCCCTCCGCCGAGTGTGACCCCTTCCCATGCTAACGGAGTTCCCCACATAAAGATAGTAGCGGTTTCGTGGAACCCATGGGGTACGACAACATCAACACGAAGGAGAAGCTGGAGAGGTGGGGCCTCCCTGGAAAGGTGGGAAGGGCACGAAACCATGTAAAAAGTATGGGTTTCCGATACCCTCCTCGCTCAGGCGGGGCCTCCCTGGAGGGGTGGGAGGGGCAGGAAACCACGTAAATAATATGGGTTTCCGAAACCCTCCTCGCTCAGGCGGGCCCTCCCTGGAGGGGTGGGAGGAGCACGAAACCATGTAAATAGTATTGGTTTCTGATACCCTCCTCGCTCAGGCGGGGCCTCCCTGGAGGGGTGGTAGGGGCACGAAACCATGTAAATAGTGTGGGTTTCCGATACCCTCCTTGCTCAGGCGGGCCCTCCCTGGAGAGGTGGGAAGGGCACGAAACCATGTAAATAGTATGGGTTTCCGATACCCTCCTCGCTCAGGCGGGGCCTCCCTGGAGGGGTGGGAGGGGCAGGAAACTTTGTAAATAGTATTGGTTTCCGATACCCTCCTCGCTCAGGCGGGGCCTCCCTGGAGGGGTGGGAGGGGCACGAAACCATGTAAATAGCATTGGCTTCCGATACCCTCCTCGCTCAGACGGGGCCTCCCTGGAGGGGTGGGAAGGGGCACGAAACCATGTAAATATTATGGGTTTCCAATACCCTCCTCGCTCAGGCGGGGCCTCCCTGGAGGGGAGGGAGGGGCAGGAAACCATGTAAATAGTACGGGTTTCCGATACCCTCCTCGCTCAGGCGGGGCCTCCCTGGAGGGGAGGGAGGGGCACGAAACCTAGTAAATAGTTTGGTACTCCGATACCCTGCTCGCTCTTGCGGGTATGGTATGGTAAGGTATGTATGGTATGGTATTGTATGAGTAGTTTGGTATGGTATTGTATGGTATGTGTGGTATGGTAATGTATCGTATGATAGGTATGCTATTGTATGGTAGGTATGGTATGGTATTGTATGGTAGGTATGGTGTGGTATGGTTTGGTATGGTATGGTATGGTACGTATGCTATCTAGAATGGTTGTTATGGTATGGGATTGTTCGGTATTGTGTGGTATGTATGGTATGGTATGGTGTGGTATGACATGGTGTGGCATGGTATGGTATTGTTTGGTAGTGTGTGGTATGTATGGTATGGTATGGTATGGTATGGTATGGTATGGTATGGTATGGTATGGTATGGTATGGTATGGTATGGTAGGTATGGTGTGGTGTGTTATGGAGTAGTAGGCATGGTATGATATGGGAGGCTGGAATGGTAGGCATGGTATTGATATGGGAGGCGGGAGGCGGGAGGGAGAAGGAGAGGATGTTCTGGGAAAACAAGAACCCCACTCAGGATGTGGGGAAAAAGCGACGGAGGGTTTTCCGCTATCTTCGGCCTTTGGGGGCCCTTTCCCAGGCCTCGGGACTGTCAAAACGCGACTCGGGATGGAAAACCGGTCCCGCGGAAGGGGTCAAGACCTTTGGGGGGGGTCGACGTTGCGAAAAAAATGCAACGTCGGGGGGAGCGGGCGCTCGCGCAGAGGGTCCCGACTTCTTGGTCGGCGGTGGCTGCGCGGGAGGACCAGAGAGGTCCTCCTGGCTCCGCCGTCTCTCCCACGACCTCGCTCCCTGCCTCCTCGCCGTTCCCCCTCGCTTCCTTCGTGCCTCCCTCGTCCCCCCCCTCCCCCCTCGGCCTGACGCTGGCCGCGTAATTGTCCCTTCCCCCCGCTTGTCTCCTCGCTTCTCGCTCCTTCCTCCTCCCTTCCCTCCTGATTTTCCCTTCCTCCCTCAATCCTTCTTTCCTTCGCTCGTGCAGGAGACCCGGTGGCAACGGTGGCCCCCAGCCTGGGTTCCCCGGGTTCTTTCCAAAGGTTCCCCACCTTGTGTCTCTACGTATTCCCAGGTTTCTCGGCTTTGTTGGGGTCGTTGCCTTGCCATGCATCGTTTTGCGTTGCGTTGCATCTGCATGGCGTTGTGTTTTACATTGGAATGTTTTGTCTTGATTTGATGTTTGAGTTGGGCTGCGTTGTTTTGCCTGCCTCTGCTTTGTTGTACTGCTCCTCCTTGCAATGGCTCGCGTTGCTTCACATTGCGTTGCGTTGCCATTGCACGACTGCTTTGAGTTCCCCTGCAGCACGTCACGTCGCATTGAACGTGCATTGGTGCACCCTGGTCCGCGATATGTCTCTGCTTGGTCTGCGTTCCTACCGAGTATTCGGTCCACCTTCAAGCCATTTGCGGGTACGTGTACTCTCGCCGCTGTGAGCTTGTCAAGGAGTGGGGATTTCTAGGACCCAAGCGGGCGGGCCTTCTGCTAGTGTGTGTGTGTGTGTTTGTGTGTGCATATGACACATGCATGCTTGTGCACATACAAATGTGTATGTATATGTATGTGTATGCGTACATGCTTACGTATATGTATATGTATGTGTACATGCATGTGTATGTGTAATGCATATATTTACATGTATGTGCATATGTTTTGAATCGCTTCGCTTATTCCGCTGGCCCGTACTGTGCCATCGCAGGCGTTTGCTTGCACGTTCGTGGCCTCTTGGGGCCTTTGCTGGGCCGTTTGGGGACCTCCTGGGGCATCGTTTTGGGCCTGTTGGGGGCCTCGTGGGGCATCTTGGGGGGCTTCTGGGGGCGTCTGCGGGCCTTCTGGGCGCCTCTTGGGGCCGAGGGCTCAAAATGTCCGTTCGGGTTCCCCGTCTGGCCCCCTCTTGGGGCCGTCCTGGCGATACCTTTGGCCGTCTTGGAGGCCTCTTGGGCCGTCTTGGGGCCCTCTTGGGGCTCTCTTGGACGCCTCTTGGGGCGATATTTGGGTTCTCTTGAGCCCTTTTTGAGCGTCGGGAAGCCGAACAGATGAGAACGCCAAAGTCCTTCAACCACCTAATGGAAATCGATGGTGTTTGCCTCCTGGGGCCCTCTTGAGACGCTTCTTCGAGGCCTCTTTGGGCGTCTTGGGGGCGTCTGCGATCGGTCGGCGACTCGGAGCCCTCTTGGACCGTCTTGGGGACCCCTGGGGCCCTCTAGGAGCGCTCTGGGGCGCCTCAAAGCAGCCCCCAGAAGGAACACCCATCTCTGGGTCGGACCGACCGGAGTATTTTCGTCTGGGGACCCCCAGGAGCCGCCCCGCGCGCGCGAACTAGAAATACGGTTTACCAGTCGCAGAATTTCGAGGCGAATCCAGCGGTGGCGACGAGGGCCTCCCAGGGGGCCCAAAAGGGTGGTAGCGGGCGAAGGGTAGCGGCATGGGTGCCTTCTCCTCCTGAGTTCCTTCGTCGCAGGCAGGCGCAGCCGCGCGCCCAGGTGAAGCCGCCCCTCGTGAGGCGCATGATCGCGGGCAGCTTCGAGAGTCCGGGCGCCGAGAAGCGGAGGCCCCTCGGGGCCTCGCCCGCTCGCCGCCAGCCCGCC